AAGACTTGGTTATTCCAGCTCGCAGGACTGGCCTAGGGTAATTTTTAGAGGGGTTTTAATCAATATTTTAAATTGGACAATTCTTTAATATTCTTTTTAATTAATTTTAAATCTGTATTGTTATTTGTGTATTTTAATTGATTGTCCGCCGCCCTGAGTCCTACGAGGAGAAGGGCGGGATATAAATCTAAATAATAAAATAAATAAATAAATAAATAAATATGTCTGTTTGAATATGTGTGCACTCCTGGCAACTACCTGTATGATAGTTTTCTTGGAATTTTTTTGAAACTGGTTTATTGTTGCTGTCTTCTTCCTAGGGCTGAGAGAGAGTGACTGGCCCAAGATCACCCAGCTGGCTTTTGCCCTAAGGTGGGAACTAGAACTCCTGCTCTCTAGTTGGTATCTTAATCACTACACCAAACTAGCTCTCAAGGAAACAGCAATAGTTAGTGCCATTGCACTGGCTTTCTGTGTTTGACCACTAGGGGCAATTAATGTAGCAATAGAGACTTTACATACTTACCCTCTTTGCAAAATACTTACTTTGCATATACTATTAGCTAGATTGATATTCTCAAGGATTTCATAGCATCCTTCCTTTCCCAGCTCAGCTTTCCTTTCTCTACCATCTTTGGCCTCTGTGGCTCATATCTGTACCTGACTCATTCACTTTCCAACAGCATGCCCACAGCTTTTAATAAACTTGAGTCAATCAACTTTTTTATTTCTTAAATAATGATTATCTTAGTTTTTTCCATACACACAAGCACCAGCCTCTAGAATAATTTCATCTTACTTCGGTGTTGCTCAACCTTGCCAATTTTAAATGTATAGACATCAATTACCAAACTGGTTGGGGAATCCTGGGAGTTGAAATCCATACTTTTTAAAGTTACCAAGCTTGAGAAGCATTGTTCTAAGTGTTTCTCTCTGAGTATGCATTCTTTCTGCTGCATTAAGCTATCTCCTATCCAACAATGTTCCTTTCCCAAGACTACAACTGAGAAGCATTGCCTCATTTCTTCCTGAATGCTGTGTGTACCACTGTGTGCTGCTACCCCAATCTGAGATATTTCAGAGAGAATTTTTCCTCCCAGCTGCCAGAGGGTCACTTGGGAGATACCAGATGGATGGCAATCTTACACTCTCAGTGGCGGGATGAAAAAAAGCCTCAAAAGCATATTTTGGAGCTTCTGAATTATGAAATGAAACAGATTATTTTTCCTTTACTGTAAGAAGAAATATGCTGTATGAATTTATACCTCTTATTTGTAACATTTTCTAAATTTTCCAGATGTTTTGAGCTATAACTGACCACTATACTTCCTGATTGATAACTATCTTCTCAAACATTTTGAGGTCAGGTTGGAAAAAGTCTGAATGGAACTTATATGAGCCACATATGAGCAGAACGGATGGAGAGAAGGAGGGTGGGGGGAGAAAAAGAACCAGGATTCAAACGCGCACAGGCAGATGCGACACAACTAGGAGCAATATGATTGACTAGGAGGGGGCGAGAGAAGGAGGGACCAATTACTTGCTCCATGAGCAGATCGTTGAAACAACCAGCTATATAAGCAGGCTAGCCAACTTCCGGCTTTTACTTTGACGATGTCGGCAGAGGACCGACAACCAAGGTCATTCTGTCGGTTATGCTAGGGTTGTTAGAAATCCCACCAAACTATTCTATTGGGAAACGTAGCTGATTGAATAGCACTGGGGTGGGAAGTTTGACTTTGTAATAATGTAAGTCTTTGGAGGGAATTTCAGACTTGGTTTTACTTTTGACTTTACTGATATTTTGTATCCAATAAACATGTTCTTTGAGAAAGCCTCTAGCCTTGGAGTTCTGATTTATTTGGCTCCATCTATTGGAACCATGACAACCAGTTTGATTGGAACAACACAAAAATCATTGGCCATGCTATCACCCACCATACTCATGAATTCATCAAAGCCTGGAACTCCACAAGCAATTCCATCAACAGACCCATTGACCTACAACCAGCCTACGAACCCCTCAGAATCCAAATCAACCATACAGCCAACCAGAGACAGCACCAATGCTCAACCAACCCACGCAAGCCCCCCCAACCAGCACTTCACCTCCAAAT